ATGGTAGCCTTACATCACAAACACCCTTAAGCAGTCCATTACTTCCCTAATCTCATAACTGTAGTGGCGTTCCTATAGTCTTATCACTAGCTCAACCAGAGCTAATCCATTTGGGTAATACCGAGATCCAATATGTGGATTTCCATATCCTCGTTGTTGCACCCGAAGTTTTGGGTACTACTTTTCCTTCTGCGTTTTAACAACACGCTCATGCCATATACCAACCTAGTGAATGCTACGGCTACACCCGCAGACTTACAACACTCTATCACTATTTAGCTGCTAGTGAATGCTACGGCTACACTCGTAGACTTACAACACTCTAATCATTATCTGCTAACCTGGTGAATGCTACGGCTACACCCGCAACTCACAACACCCTAACACTATCTGCCAACCTGGTGAATGCTACGACTACACCCGCAGACTTACAACACCCTTCACACTATCTGCTGCTAGTAAATGCTACGGTTACTCCCGTAGTCTTACAACACTTTCCATACCCGGGTCGAGCACACACTCGACCTAACCCTCAACTGAACTCGAGTCCTAAACGAAACTCTAACCTGGTTCCCGAAACCTGCTATCACGTGACCCCACTGTATCAGTACCGCACTTATTCCCATGATCAAAGCGTCAAAATAAACCAAGAAATCGTCTACACCCTCTGGCAGGGTGAGAATCGGTGCCTCGCACGACCGATGTTCGAGAGTCTCGAGGTTGCCTGCTACTCAAGCCACCATTGAAAGTTTACCGACTTCTTGGTCAGTCGGGTCAAAGGATCCGCAATCTCGGAGAAGTCCCATGTAAATCTCCGGTAGTAACCTGCTAGACCCAAGAAACTCCAAATCTCAGATGGAGACCTCGGAATCTCCCACTGCATCATGGCATCTATCTTGGCCGGATCAACTAGAATACCCTTCTGGTTGACAAGGTGCCCAAGAGATTGCACCCCGCGCAACCAAAACTCATATTTGGAGAACTTTATAAAAAGTCTCTCCCCCACTTAGATCCGACTAAGTCTTCTTTGCACGCAAGAATTGAAGGATTTCCAATACTTCTCGTTTTCTAATATCCCACTGATGACAACCTATGCCTACCAATGCTAGTGTTTAATCACCGATTAAACCTTGAGATCTTAGATCCTCGGAAATCTCGATGACTACTCTTGACATCTGATCCAATCTGACACCTCGATCCATTTATCATGTTGTCAATTGAAGGTCTCAATCTTCACTCTGGCTGACGAATCCTCGTTCTCATTTCCAATCTTGCATTACCACTGAACTCTAACTGAACACAACCCATGCAAAAATACAATTATCCTGAACATGCGATGACCAACCACTTATGCATCTAACACTCGTGACTGACACTACCCTTTTCATGTCACCAGCTCTGTCCTAGCAACGGTAGTGCCTTGAACTCCAAAGTTCATCCATAAACAATTACCGACCATACCTGAACAATGATAGAATCCCTGAACGCTGACTTCACGGTAGAACTATTATTCTAACCCTGACCGAGGATCTTCCCAAACAATACTCCTTCACAGATCTCTACAAAGATCCGAAATGATAACGGTACACGCGGAACCCGCTCCGCAAGATGCATCCCTTTGTGGGTTTATCAATGACTTTTCGGCTTGCAGGATGGCATATATGATCCTTGATATCCCAAACACTAGCAGGAAACCAACCCGAGATCTAACTTATCCAAACTTAATCATAACTCCAACGCGATTCGTATCCCCAACATCCATCTAATAGCAATAGAAGATGACATACCCGCAACATCTAGAGGAATACTAATCACCTTCTGCTGACATGACCAACCCCGCTACCCTGTAGTAGCCTAAACCCTAGGAGCAACAAACTCCCTTGTACACTGTCCTGTACGTGTTGCACTGACTCTGGCCCTGCTGGCCCTTCACCTAATGATCAGAAATCATGGGTTTCTTCCTGAGACCCCTACTATATGCACCTGGCACACACCTCTCTTTCCAGGGTGCTCCTAAATCGATCCCGCATCTGCAACTCTTGGAAATCATATTATTCAGGGTCTGACACCCTGTCACGCTCACTAGATCGCTTACCAATGGCTAAGCTACAACAACTGGAACATCCTCTATCCTTAAAATGGGTCACAAAATCTTCCCTGAAGCTTCTTAGATTCTTTATGAATCTCACCGATTCGAGTATGGATCCTGTGCTTTCAGTAGTACGGGCCCAATACTACCTTCCACACCTATCCATACTTTCCTCAGCAATCCTCCCAGATCCTCCAAATCACTTCCTCAACTGGTACACCCAAGTCTAACTGAGCCTCACTACTAACTCACTGAAATATATCCTAGGCTTCCCTAGGTTCCCGAACTCACCCAGTCCTCAGTTGTTGAAAGATTCCCAGTAATGTCAACTAGATACCTCATGAATATAGCCACATGCAACAGAGATCATATAATCCTTCAAGTAACATACTCATCCCTATAACGGTTAGACTCAAATGAGAGTTGCGTAATAGGGTCAAATCTATCACTCTGAGATTATCCAGCCTGTGCCGCATGTGACTTAGCATATTCACTTAATAACTAACTCACATTACTAAGAGTCCCACAAAGCACAAAGCAAGCAACATTCAGACAATGGAAAATCTAACCATCATATTCCAATCAAATAATTTTATCCGCTAATCAAGAATTTGTACATGCAATTAAAAGGCTCATACAATCAGGCATAACCTAAACAGGCTATCCTATCACTGACTTATCAGTACTAGCATGCAAGTCTACAAGTACATATAATAGGCATATAAGGCATCCTCTTAGATCCTTAGCCCTAATCTAGCATGCAGTTCTCATAAGCATATCATATCATAACATCTCATAACATGTATGGATATCTTGGGAATACTTACTTGAGCTCGGCTGATTGCACGCATCACACACCTTGTTATTTTCAAAGTTCTTTTTTCTTTTCAAACTTCTTTTATAAAATGATTTTACTTTTGAAAATTTTCATACCAAGTCCTTAGTTTGAGTTCACACACACCCGAGTGTGACTGAATCCCTCAAACCAAGGCTCTGATACCAACTTGTAACATCCCAAAAATAAAGGCCAAAATTTCATTTCAATTATGTTATTACATAAAACCATCAATATAAAAACATTGATAATAACGTCTCATGTCAAAACCCAAGTGTCAGTAATCCAAAACATAGTATCATAAAACCATATCAGAGCGTAATCCCCAAGGATCTCATGTGCGGAAAACATAGTGTGAAGCGTTGCGATCGAGCCGACTCCTTTCCTTTGAAAACGAAGTACCTGAAACCAAAACTAAAAACCGTAAGCATAAAGCTTAGTGAGTTTCCCCATCATACCACATACCATACAATATACTGTCAGGAAATTCTGGGGCTCCTGCCTTACCCAGGTCAAAGCATTCTAGGGTGTTTGACGTACCCAGGTCAAACCATTTTGGGGTGTTTGACATACCCAGGCCAAGCCATCCTGGGGTGCACGACGTACTCGTCGGTCTAATTCACCCGACAACCGAGGACTATTTCACCCCCTACTACTACCACATAGCATAACATAATGTACTGTCAGACAATTCTTGGGTGTCTGACTTACCCAGGTCAAGCCATTTTGGGTGCTTGACGTACCCATCGGTCTATTTCACCCGACTACCGGAGACTATTTCACCCCTACTGTTATTATCACATATATCATAACATATCATGCCAGCATATAAACATATCATCACATACTGTCAGACATTGGGGTGTCGGACCTACCCTTTGGTCCTAACAACCGAACTCTACTACTATCACATATAACATATCAGGTAGTAGCAAACCTAGATGATATCACAAAGACAATCATATAACATACAAATCCTACTGGTGGGCCGGCATTGTGGTCGTAGACCCACCACTACTGGAAGTTAACTCACCTCACACTGCTGAAGTCCCGAAGACACAATCCCACACTTGCTGAAGTCCCGCAGACTCGACCCCAGCTGCTCGCTAATAGATTCCTGAACTATCAACACCAAAACAACACAAATTTAATAATTGGGTCCTAATACATAACCATAAGTACATTCTTTGGGTAATTACTACATTACCCCTAGCTTGGCTTACTCAAGCCCAAGGCCCAATCCGTAAGCCCAAAGTCAACTAGGAATCAAAGCCCAACACATGGCCCAATTTTCCAAATTGGGCCTAGGCCTATACATGGTCTCATTCTAAGGCTCAACATCATATAATCACTAAGGCCCAAACTATGGCCCATCTATGACCCAATTTTCCGCATTAGGCCCAAGTCCCTTACATGGGCCTTACCCTAGGCCCATTAAATTACTCTTAGACCATTTGCTTGATCTTGGATAGCCCATTTAATAACCAAATCATCAAGGCCCAACAATAAACCCAAGTGAAATTAGGGTTTCACATAAAATGATGATTAGGGTTAAGTTTCCTACTTAACCCATTAAGGACTTAATCCATTAAGTCCAATATTGCTTAGATTAATCTTTTCCAATGATTATTATTTAATATCTCAAGTTATTAAATAATTCTCGTGTGTGTGACACGATTAATTCTTAAAGTTAGGTTTTCATTGGCATTAGGGTGTTCCAATCCAAATATTAGCCCATTTATCAATTTGTTGGCCTTTTATGACAATTAGGGCTTTATTGGGCTTAATAAGCCCACTAAAATCTTATTAAGCCCATATGGGTTTTATTGTGTCCATTAGAGTCCATTAAGCTTCAGTGGGCCCATTAGAGCTCCTTTGAGTCATTAGGGTTTCTAGCACCCCAAACGAATCTATCACAAGAGGCAAAGCGCACCGCCACCCGACACGGTGGCCGGTGGCGGCAGCCAGCACCCTAAGGTGGTGGTTTTCAATTTTATTTCATTATAATTTTGCTAATTACACTTTACAACACCTTAACCAAAAATAAACACACACTAACTACATTAAACACACACAATGGTGGTTCATGGCGGTAGCCACCACCTCACGGTGGTGGTGGTTCTCGGTTGTCCAGCTAATCTACATTATACCCACAAACCCTCTAAAGAAAAACAGAAACACACCCATCCAAACTTGTTTCTGATTTGCAAGGTGTACCCAGCCACCCTCCCGGTGACCCACGACGGCGACAACAACCACTTTGGAACGATAGCCACCACCTCACGGTGGTAACGGTGATCTCCTTTTGTTCTCAGTCAAGCAGCAGCACACCCCGGCGGGACCTTGCTCGGAATCTGGACGCAACCACCAGTTGGTGCGTAACGACGGCAACATCAGTTGAAGCAACCACAATGGTGGCTATCGGCGACATAACGAAAAGGAAGAAGAATAAGGATGGCGGCGATTGGTCCCGAGCAATGATGGTCAATGAAACGGCAGGGATGTGGTGGAACAAAAGAGACGCGAAGGGGGGGGTTCCACCAGAGATAGCAACGATGATGCTCCGAGGTGAGTTTCTTCCGATCTCCCACTGCCATGACGTTTGATGGAGGTTTCCGTCTTCATGCGGTGGCACAGTGGCGACTCGGTGGTATAAGAAGCAAGAGGGTGGTGGCCGGCCATAGAGAAAAGGAAAAGTGGCGGCCAAGTCTTCCTTATTGGGCCCTATTTGGTCGATAACCTCTTTAATTGGTCCTTTTTGGCTGAAAACCCTCTTTTGGGCTCTAATGGGCCTTGTAAGGCCGAAAACCACCATCGGGCTCCCTATTAGGTCAAAAGTTCTTAATTGATTTTCATGGGGCCGAAAACTTATACTTGGGCCTTAATTGAGCTGAAAACCCCTTAATTGGGCTAAAACTTTCCTAGAACATTAGTGGGCTGAAAACTCCATTGGCCCAAGTCAATTTCGAAGCCCATTATTCTTTTGGGCCATAGTTGGGCCGAGAATCATTTTTTTGGGCTCTTTGTACCGAAAACATTTATTAAGCTTTAATGTGCTGAGAATCCTTATTGGGCCAAAACTAAAATCGGAACTACTCTTCTTGGGCCACTATTTTGGGCCGAGGACCCCCTTGGGTCGGTTAGCTCATCTAAACAAAAAAAGGAAAAAAAAGGAGAAATGTGGTGGACAAAAAGGTTGCCACCACAACATTGACCATTATGCATCAAGCCTAAGCACATTTGTCCAACATATATCCAAGCCCCACTCCTCCCATTCTTCCCTCTTGATTCGGCATCATTCAACATGCTCTCATCCTATCTCTCTCTAATATTTCGTGTGAGTGTGTGTTCTTCAAAGAATTTTTCATCCAAGGATCACAAAGTTGGTAAGTCCATGTTTGATTCAAGTGCTTTTGCTTCATATATGTGCTTAGAACTTTCAATTTACTCATTTTTTTGAGTGTTAAACTCCTTAGAACACCCATATTTTCGAAATTATACTCAAGAAGGCAAGCTAGGCTCGAAATCCTTCCTCGTCTTCCTCTACATTTCGAAAAATCCCCAAGGTGAGCTTCATACCCCTTATTTTCGAGTTTTGTTTCTTTTGGGGGAGGATACAAGTATAGTCTTGTGTAAAATCTTTGTATATATGCATGTATTTGTGTGTATGTATGTATATGTGTGATGAAATGTGATTCTTTCATGCTAATACCCTCAAACTCGAGACTTTGTAAAGTCTCAAGTTGTTGGGACAAAGTTTACCTTGGTGTAATGTCATGTTTTGGTGATATGCTAAAGATGAAATAAGTTGCTAAGTGAAAGCGATTTTCATGTAATGTTTGTCAAAAATCACAAAATATGTCCAAGAAAATGTTGAAACAAATTTTGGCTATGAAAGTTTGAAAAATGATAAAATATCAAAATTTACACCCAAAAGGGTAAATTTCTGAACATATAAATTTTTACCATAAACATTTGTAAAAATGGGTTATTTATGTTAAGTGTGGTAAAAATGGGTTATTTGTGATAATTATGGTAAAATGGGTTATTTATGACAAATGTAGTAAAAATGGGAAACTCACATTTCCACAAAATTTGTATAAATACATAAAATATAATGAAATTTTTTAGTTTTATGTGTATTGTGGAAAAGTCATGATATGTAAAAATTATTATTATTATGGTGTAAAATCTAAGCTAATATGTTATTTTTACACAAAATGTTATGATTATATTAGTCCATTTTTGAATATTTATAAGAAGAATTTATAAATAAACTTACCGAATTTGGTGCACAAAAAGAGACTTTTATGACACATAAAGTTCCGTGTCCTAACCGTCTGTCATAAAGGTTTTAAACAAGAAAAATAAACTGTGTAAATTTACGACAAGAATTATTGCGTGTCATAAAACTGCAGTAGTAATTATACACTAAAAACGTTGGTTATATTATTTAGTAGTGGGATTCAAATTTTGCGTAAATTCTGTTAAGGATCTTGTGAGACACTCCTTCACTATACCTATTTAGCATACATCGTAAGTCATGTACTTATAACAAGAGTCTCCTAGAGGGAGGGCGGGATATTGTGTATAGATCTATACGGAGTTGACACCCCCACACCTGAGTTGTTCGCTAGAGCTAGACATGCTAGTCTAGGGTGACAATTATCTTATTAGAAACCGACGCCTGAAGAACGTCAAGATAGGCTCTTTAGTCACATTAGTATGGTTGTAACGACTCACATAGAGATTAACATTAATATTTTGAAGTTACGCTAAATTTTACGCGCTTTATTCTCTTTACAAAACATGAAACTATCTTTCGACTGTTTTGTAAACAATTTTCATCACTCGGGTCTTAGGGTTTATGACCACAACTCCTCGTATGACAGAAACTATAGGATTTTCTGGGAACACTTTCTCTATATAATTTCAAACAACGAAACAAAAGAACATGCATGCAATTATACATGATTTGGAACGAGACTCTCAAACTAATTTTACTGAAAATATTGGATTTTCTGGATTTTTACAAACTATTACAAAGTTTTCTTAAAAATATACGTATAAACTCACCAACATTCTATGTTGACGCTTTTCAAAATGACTTGTATTCTCGGGGACACAGTAAGCAGGTTTTGCAGCTACAAATTTTGGATAATTGTTGTATTTTTGAAATATCATACATTGTGTTATTTTTAGATGTAATTTCATGAATAAATACAAAATTGTAAACAATGCATGTTGGTATCTGTAGTGTATGATGTTTGGTTGCTATGTCTGTTTTATAATTAATTGTTATGATATTACAAAATGAAGTCACCCACCCTAGGACGTTTCTGTCATCCCGGTTCGGGGATGTAACAATCTATATGAGGTTTGTTGTACCATTTACATGGATCACAAGAGTTTTTGATATCTTATTGACAATCGAGTTTGGGTTCTAGTGTCTGGTGGGATCATGTAGATATTGTTGGAGGAAGCTCATAACTCTAACTTTTCTATACACCTGGGAGTCACCAAGATGCATCGAGACTTGAGATTAAGTTACCGGTGGTTGTGTATGAAGAGGGAGATAGTATGGTATGTAGATGGGTGCTTGACCTGCAAGATGGTAAAGGCCGGTCAGTAGAGGACACATGGCAAGTTGTAGACTTTAGAGGTTCCCATGTGGAAGTGGGAATAGATCATCATGGATTTTATCACCAAGTTACCAAAGACTGCCAAATGTTTTGATGTTATATGGGTCATCGTGGATCGATTGACTAAGAGTGCCCACTTTTTGGCCATTCGGGAGACCTCTTTGATATTGCCATATTTATACACATTTCTAGGCAATATTTTAATACATTTTTATTAATATTTTGGTTATTTGCAAGGATATATGATACTTATGATATTAAATTATATTTTGCAGTCAACATAAACAATCTTGAAGAATAAGGACCATTGTTGACAAGGAGTGTAACTTTGGAGGATTGAAGAATTAATAGAAGAAAAATTTCTGCGAAAAGCGCAAATCATGACGTGGCCATCATTTATATGACATGGAGTGAGTATTCTAGAAGATAAGTGGACAGGAAGTCAGAGTCCTTGCCCAATAAGGATTTATCTCAAGTACACAACATGAAATCCATGTTCACGTCGTGAAGTGCAAAAATTCCCTATATATATATATATATATATATATATTCCTTAACTTTCACGATTGAAGGAGGCTTGGAGGATTTTAAAAGAGATTTCTGGAGAATAATTGTTCAGAAAAATAGAAATTAACCATTCATTGAAGGAGATTTATTTGGAGTTCAAGAGATTGAAGATTATATTCATTGTTCTAGTTTGGTACTCTATGATTACGTCTTTTATTATTGAATTTGTGTTTGTGTTATCAACCATGAGTAGCTGAATCTAATAGCTTTCGTTTAGCTAGATGAAGTTTTAACTCTATGGTTTAGTTTATTGATTGAAGGATTTTAAATGTTGGTTATGATTTTTTGTTTGATTATCTCTACCTAACATGTTAATATTTGATGCTTTAATTGCTTGAATTCAGGTTCTGTGTAGATTAGTGAGCATTAAATTACATGAACTTGTTTAGTGGCCATTAAGTTGCTAGAGCTAGCATCGACCCAATCTTAGATAAGTAATGAAAGTAACTAATTTAGTTGTGCTAAAGAACATAAATTGTAACCACAATTGTGTTTATTTTGATTAATCTTACATAGCTTTTCTACATCTTATAACTGATTTTGTGTTTGCTAATCTATGACTATACATAGTATTACATGAATTAGTGAAAATATTAGTAAATTTGGACTTGAATTGCTAATAAAATAATAATTGATAACCAACATTAATAATTCAAAATTAGTAGCTACCCATAGAGGGGAAGTGGATTTGAACTAAATGGAAGTGTTTTTAGTAATTGATTGAATCGTTAGTTTAGTGATTAAGTTTTGTTTTAATTTGCAAAATCAGATAAAACCCAATTAAACTTTTGCTTATTTTAGTTTAATTTTTAGTAGTTAAATTAGTTAATTAAATATGTTCCATGTCATCGATACCCAACTATTTGTGCTATATTATTTTCAACAAGGTCCACTGCCTTAAGTCGTAATAATTAGTTAGATAGTTGGTAAAACTAATAGGTGTAACAATATTTCAACACATCACTCTTCGGCCAAAAGTTGTCGATGTGTATGTTCAAGAGATTGTTGCTCATCATGGGGTTCCGGTCTCCATTGTTTTAGACTGAGATGTTCGATTCACCTCCCGATTCTGGCAGAAGTTCCACGAGGAACTGGGCATGAGGTTACTTTTCAGCACTGCTTATCATCCACAAACTGAAGGCCAAAGTGAGCGGACCATACAAACACTGGAGGATATGTTGCGGGCTTGTGTTTATAGAATTTGGTGGGAGTTAGGATTCTTTCCTACCCCTTGCGAAGTTCTCATACAACAACAACTATCACTCCAGCATTGGTGCCCCGCCTTTTGAGCTCCTATATGGTTCGAGGTGTCGTGCCCCGGTTTGTTGGGGGGAAGTTGGTGACAAAGTCATGGGAAGGAATGAGGTAGTCCTTCAAACCATGGAGCTTATCCAACA